TTTAATTCTAGTTTTGTTTTGCGTATTTTGTTCAATGTTTCCTGATCTTGGTGGGACGCGTAGGCTTCTTCTAGTGATTTAATGTTTTTTTCTAATTCCTGAATATTTTTGTTTTCTTCTTTCTTTTTATGTGATGAGAAAGAAATTATTTTACCTCTCATCACAGCTTTCCCTGCTTCCCATAGAACAGATATGTAACTGTTTCCACTAGAGATCTACCTTATTTACAGCTCAACGTAATGTAGCTACATACATAACTGAGTTTTTTTTCCTTATTAAAATATTGTGCTATATCAGAAATACTACCAAATATACAATTTCCTATTCATGTAACATCCTAAGGGTGATATTCTACCTGCATTCATTTCAACTTGTTAGCCCAGAAGAATGTTAGTCAGCTAACAGAGGGTGCAAAATGCCATCATGACAGACAGGCTACAGAACAACAGGATGAATACCAGGCACCATAATGTGTTCATAACAGAGGCCAAACAAGTGTCCATAGTGACTATGTTGAAGAGATACCCAGAAAATCAAGAGCCAAGAAAATAACTAGCATGTTCTCCAAAGAGCCATCCAAAGTGTACTCTCAGCTGAAAGGGAACAATACTGATTCACCCAGAGCTGAGACTGACCAATCCTGTAAGAATAATTAAGAGAAAGTAGCTGAATAACCTAAGAGCACAACAACTTCCTAGAACAAGAAGAATTATCCGGATCATTAAGGTTTCCCACAAAGGTATGACACATGCAAATTACCTACCTCTCCACAACATGGAAGCTCCTATCATAGCAACCAAGCTGACTGGGCAAAAGTCAACACACAGCACAGTTAAAAGGGCATGGCAGACAACACCAAAGCACCAGCTCCTGGTTGACAGAGCAGTAGATCAGGACCCCAAGACATATCAACCTCAGCACTGCCTGGACTGACTACAAGTAAGCTTTTCTAAGGAGCTTAGGGAAAAAGTAGCAGGGCTTTTGCAAGTTTCACAAAACTTAAAGACTAAAGTCTAGTCACATTCTTACTAATCTCCTTAAACTAGTATGAGTTGGATAACTGAGAACCTACACAGAAATACACAAAAGCTAATGAAATTCACTGTGGACAGTGACAGTGCTGGAAGCCCTTACCTGTATTTTTATTTATTTTAGTGATTTGTATTTAAAAACTACTTATTTAAAAACTACATAAAAGAAAGAAAACACATTTGTGGTTACTGATTCTTTATTAGGTTCATTTTCTAGTATTTAAGTGAATCGCTTGTGGAAGGTGAAGAGACAGGGGGACTGGCCATCCGACCTGTGTCAGGAAAAAGAACCTTAGTTAGAGCTGTTCACATTTTATCATTATCATTTGTCTGTAACCTAAATTCTTTATATAAATATTAAGATAAGTGTGTTAACAGTACTCACCTTTCCTGGTTGTTTCTTTTGCAGGATGTGGAGCAAAAGAGTAGAAGCAGCTCAATCACCTGCTTATGAGCTCCTGGAGCAAACCAATATCCCAGGTTAGGGGAGTGTGGTTAAGGTGTTTTAATTTATAAAGAAGTGGTTGAAGTCTATATGTTATTTATTTATTTATAGGACTTGGTAAAAATAGAAATGTGTCTTTCATGTGTTGTATTGTGGTTTGATGACGGCTCATGTGGATGTTTATGTTTTCATTTGGTTTGCTAACTCTAGACTTGGGCTATTCCAGATGCTCACCGGAATCAGGTAGAGTATAAAATGGAGCCAGTTGCTTTTAGAGGTTGTTGAGTTCTTTGCTGTGTTTTGGTGCGTAAACTCACGGTCTCTTTAATAGAGTCTTCCAGTTAATGGATAAATTTTATTCCAGTCTTATGCCATTTTGTGTGAATGTAACCCCCTAATTCACCTCTTCATGAAAAGTGGACACGAATATATAGATTCAGGAGTGGAGTGAACACTAGCGATGTCAAACCATTCGCCAGTAAGGGAGACATTGACTCACTGATCCACAAAAAGGACATAGTTATGTCAGAGAGAGAGTGTCGACAAATTGTGTGGTTCACAATTTGATATTTTGAAAGATTTCATCTACTTCAAGCATTTATTTGTACTTGCCTGATTTATATGCCACAAAATCTTATTTCTTCCATCTGCTCAGTGTTATTTAAATACTGTTCAATATGTAGCTTTTAGAAGAAATGTTTACATTTTGCATTGTGGGAAGCAATTTTTTTATGTCATTTATTTAGTTGAAATATTTTTTTCTTATACTTGAAATAGAACCATTATAAATAATTCATTTTCTATGGGTGTCTGTGTTATACAGAAGTATAGTAAGTTAAAAATCACCTTTTATAAAAATGTTTGTCAGTCAAACAGGGAGTTACCTTGACAAACTGAAGATCTGAAAGCGCTCGAACACAGAAATCTGGTATGTACTGGAAGGGTGTGCCTGGGATCTGAGTGTTGCTTCCACAGACGGAGCCACTCTCTGGAGCCCGTTCGGTGCAGCTCAGAGATGCCGAGCGGTTGAGGTTGCCCCCATGTGATGGAGAACGGAACTCTAAGGATTAACAGAGAAAACAGTGAGCAAAAAACGACAAGGGGTCTCTAAAAAAAAAAAAAATTAACAAAGCTGACATGAATGAAAAATGGAAACAAAAATAATTGTGAGCAAGGAAAAAGTGAAGGCAGCTGGGTGAATGAAGTGGTGAGGGCTGGTGTAATGAGTACACACTGCAACAGATCACACAAACACACACAAAACATATAAATGTCATACTTGTGCTATGACTGCATGAATGTGAGGAGACTGTTTGTCACGCAAAGAATGCACCAAACATGCTGTGTGATGATGCAAAGAGCAGATACCACCTGCAGTGGGATTTAGCAAAAACTGCATGTGTGATTAGCTTGAGAAGCTTCTTCAGTTAAGAAGAACTAAAGTCTCTGGGATGAGAGGTGAGCTTTTCCATTAAATTAATGATGTCCAGTTCAAAGCTCTTAAGCTTTCCCATTACAATACATACTATTCCCATTTCTGTTGTAGAGGAAATGGGCGAAATCACAGGAGATTTGCCCATTTCATTCAGCCCTCAGAAAGACAAATAAGCACATTCTTCAAAGTGTCAAAACTATTTTGTTAACCAGAGTTCTGCAGTCAGATACGTAGCTGTTGATAAATATCACAAGAGTGATGGAAAACCATCTGAACGTAGATCAGTGGTTAGTAGGAGGTGTTAGTTTTGACAGGGTTAGAAATTAGAGGTCACAGCGTCAAGAATCCCATCCAACAAGTTGCTCATTTAACTGTCACACCTGCCTTCAGAAGAAGACACAAACAGACCACATGCAGCATCAGCAGTGAGCGCTTCAGCAAGTTTAAAATATACAGCAGCACCCAGCTACTGATTTTACTATAGAATAATCAATTATCTATCAATGAATATGGACAATAAAACCAAATATTAACTAAAGGTCCATTTACAAGCTGATCATAGTTTTCAGTCGCATTTTGCAGTGTTCCTGTTTTTTTTTTTAATATCCTCGCTCGTGTTATAGAAATGAAACTCATCTCGTTTTAGTGGGATATAATGTAAACTGTATATCACACAACACAAGCAATTAGAAGACATGATAAGCTGCTGTTTGTCAACATTTTAGGACATTATATTAATCAGCTTACTTTATAAGATGTCTGAAAATGATCACAAATACCTATTGTGAGTTTTCAAAGCTGAAAGCAAACAGTTTTCATTTAACTTCTTCTGCTAAATAAAAAAAAATCAGAGGTCAAAAATGTTTAATTTACCATGCTTTTTGGAACCTTTGAATCTTTCCAAAGTTCATTTATGATTTAAAATTTTCTAACCAACTCCTTTTTGGGATTTTCTTACTTCCAGCTCTTGTTTTAAGACACAAACTTTGGAGAAGTTTGAAATATTTGAAAGCATGAGTTTGGTTGAGCAGTGTAAAAACCTTACACCTTACAACCCTTTTAGAAATATAATCATTGTTGGTAGAAATAGTAAAAACCCAGAAAAAAGGGACAGCATGAAAACAAAAAAAACAAAAAAAAAACAAAACACCTTTACTTCCTACAAAACATGTGTTCTAAAACGTTGACTTGTTGGATCAGGACTCTGAACATGATGCAAGAAAAGAAAGGGGGCGGGGTGATGGTGAGAAAATCTGATTAAATACAGGCCCCCGGGGCTCTGCCTCCGCAGGTCCATGCAAGTATTTACCTGGGAAACGAGAGAACAGAGAAAATCTCTTAAGAGAGAGGCGTCGTGGAGGGGGGGAGGCCACTGACGGGGAAAGAGGAGGGGTGACAGCTGAGAGAGAAAGAAAGGGGGCAGAGAGAGACATGAGTAGGTTTATTTATTTATTTATTTATGATTTTTCTCCTGATTTAGTTAGACTGGATCACTCTACGTACTCATTTTTTATTACCATAGAGCCTGGAGGTTTGTTCCATTGAACTCTGAGGATAACGTAGCAGATTCTCTGAAAGTCTTCTTCATCAGTAAAATAGTCTTCCTGCTCCCTTGACCTATAATTGAACACTTTCTAAATGGCTTTATTCTCTCAATTGCTAGTTTAAAGTCCTATTAAATGTAACATGATGCTCATTTTGTTGGTTTGTGCCCAACTGGGGAAAATGGACAGTTAATAGTTTACAGTTTGACTACTGTTTATGTTCAGTGCTGCCATCTTGGATTACTAATTAAAAATTCAGACTCAGAATTTTTCAACTTCCAACTTATTCAGCAACGCACCACAACATCCGAGTTCTCACATGCGTCACTCAAAGCCCTTAAAAAGGGAGAATTGTTAAATTCAACCAACAACAGACAAAGCATTAGACAATGTCCTACAGAAAAACAACACCACCACAATTTCTACATAAATGGAATATTCAAGTTTATAATTCTCTCTCTGTCTAGATTACATGATATCTGAATGCATCACTGGAACAAAAGTTACTCTGTTTTCAGGATTAGAAATGGTCAAGTGTTTGACATTTACATTCCACACACTGAGGTGGATAACGTGCACATAAAGCAGCGGTTTATCAAGTGGAGACAGAGCAACAGAAACAGGCCAACAGGGAGAGAAACAAGAGAAGAAGAGACAGTAGCTATATCACAGCTCCCTTTAAGTGTTTGATATCTTATTACCATGACAAAAGTCACTGACAGTGTTAGATATTTTTGACCTGATTCAATCTTTAATGTCTGGAATTTTGTGACCAGTGGCACAAAGATGACATCTTCACAGTGTAACCTGCTATAGACAGTCAAGGACAGTCTGAACAGAAATTCATTAAATTAAAAAAAAAGCCTTTCAAAAAACATGACTGCACTGACAAACATTTTTTAAAACATTATTTTTCTTGGATTGCACAAGAGTAGCTTTGCATGATTCACAATTCAAAATAAGTCTAAGATAAATTTGTCTTGATGGAGCCCATCAGTTCATCCTTTATTTGACACAAGCTTTTCAAGCTTTCAGCCAACTTTCTTTTGATTGGCTGCCCCTTACAAAACTTAAGCTTTGAAAAGCAGGTTCTGTGCTCACAGCTAGAGATGACCATATTAGGGATATATGTTCTCACTGACAACAAACTTTTAACAGTACTTTGTAGGATATCCACTTTAAGACCTTCACGTCCATGTTTCTAATTTACTACAGATTATGACAGGGTTGGGAAGTTCATCTTCAAGGTATGCAGAGAGAGGTTTGGTGAGGTTAGTAGAATGGAGCCCACAGCCCCAAGGATGGAGGGATTGGGGGAGAGAGAAAAAAACATTATCAAAGACACCCGGCAGCTCTGTCAGAACTGGGGGAAAGCTGCACCAGATGAGAAAGCCACTTGAAGGAGCTGTGGGACAAAATCTTACCTAGAGGGATGGGAATTGCTAAGACTTTAGTGATTCCGATTCACTTATCGATTTGATGTCATTGGGTTCTCATTGCCTCCATGGCACCAAGGACCCTGGACAAGATGGGATGCCGCTATTAACATCTGGAGGATGCCACAATCCAGACTTACTTTCCTTTTAAGGGAAACCTATGACACCCTCCCATGCCACTGGAATATCACACAGTGGTACAATGAGGAGGTAAGCTGTTCTCTCTGTGGGAGGCCCAAGGCAAATTTCCAGGACATATTATCAGGATGTAAGGTGGCACTGACTCATACTGTAAATGGATCTTTTGTTTCAACTCAAGTGTGCTAATACATCTCCCCGTTTCCATCTCTGTCGGACAAACAGTAGCTGTCACATTTAATAGCCATTATATAGGAAACTGTTGTGACTTGCTGATCTAAAAAAAAAAAGGTGCTGGCACTGATCCAGTCTTCAGTTTCTGTAGCTTCTGCAGTTCTATAGATTATATTAACTATAATAAGTGTAAGATATATGAGATATATTTTCTGCTGGCATACTTCAAGTGTGCATGGAAAACTACAGAAAGGAGAATAAGTTGAATCTTTTTTTCCAAATACAAATCTTTCATTCTCATTTTCCTTATGCAGATTTGTTTCAAAGTTTAATAAAAGCTTATGTACCACTACAAACTTTGAAATAAATGTTAATGTCAGCTTGTAAACTTAGCTTGAGCCTGTAGGTGTCTTTCCATAGGGCAACATCCCTTGCTTCCTTATTTTTGTCACCTACAGTCTTTGTAGTACTTTGTTCTTATGATCTACTTGGTCTATTTGGTTCACATGACTCTGTGGAGTCCTGTGAAAAACCAAGTACATCCTTACTTGCTTCCACAGGAATTAAGAGGGTAAGTAGAGTAAGAACATGGCTTCAGTTTTCAAAGCTGCACTTAAAGAAACCACAAAACTTGTGGAACAATATTCTTGAGACAGATGAGACCAAAGTAGGAATGTTTGATCATAGTGCACAGTGAACTGTTTGGACAAAACCAAACACACCATGCCAGCACGAATACTTCATACCAACTGTCAAGGATGGTGGAGGAGTGATGATTTGGACTTGTTTTGCAACCATAGGACCTGAGCATCTTGCAGTCATTGAGTCAACCTGTTTTCAGTGCTAACCACAGTCATTAGCACTATTGTCTCAGAGCAAGAAGGTTCTGTGTTCAAATTCACTCGTCAACTCGTGAAGTTTGCATGTTCTCTCCGTGCTTTCAATTGTTGAATTGTTTCAATTCAATTGTATTTATACACCACCGAATTACAACAGCAGTAGCCTCAAGATGCTTATTCCAAGGTAGAGACCCTACAAAAATACAGAGGAAATTATTTCAGTGTGCTCTCTCCAGGCACTCCAACCTTCATTTACCATCCAAAGACATGCATAGATTAGCTTAAGCGGGAATATTAAATTGGCCATAGGTATAAAAGTGAGATTAAATGATTTGTTAGTTGGCCCTGTGATACACTGGTCAAAAATACCTTGTTTTTATAGCAATGATGGTGAACCCATGACCTAGTTCATAAAACCTGTAATACAGCACTGAAGAAAGCTCAGGGACACCATTTAATTGGACTAAAGCTCTGGTCTAAGTGTTAATGTATTTGATGCTTCCTTTATACAATGAAAAACAGGCTTCAGTGTTAAGGACTCTCTTTCATCCACACAAGTTCAGGTAAACTTCTCAAAAAGGTGAACCTTAAGGTGCTTTTCTCTCTAATTAGGCTGCAGTAACATGACTTTACAACAAAAAGCATATAAAAGAGCAGGTGTGGATAGGGACACACACTTATGGACAGAATATGTCACTGCAGGGCAAGTGCAGTACTAAACTGCTGGATTAACCTTTTAACCTTCTATAACAGAAATCCTCTCAACAGCCTGGGAGGTTCAACTCAGGAGAAACAATCAGCTAATCTGTAAACTGGCCACAGAAAATACCACCAGACTATTGGTTTTTCTTTTGGTTTGTTTAGAGCCTTCATTTTGGCCATTTCTCATTTCTTAGACATTTTCAACAAGTTCTGAAAAAATGTAAAGCTAGAACAAATTTCTAGAGTTCTTTTGAGGACTACTTTGACATTATCATGCTATAAGACATGCATAACTACTACAATAACACTTGAATTATTACATAATTATTTTGCGTCAACTTGCAACTTTAGCACAGGATGGAGTGCAGTGAGTTTTACAGAAAGAAACAGATATTATGCTGAAAGAGTTATTAAAAGCGTCTATAGACTACACTCTAACTCCTCTACATCACAATTTAACCAATATGTTTGGTATGAGAAAACTCATGTGTTAAGATTACAAGTCACTGAGTAACTGATTAATTTACTTGCAAATGCTACTTATGTTTCGATATTTGTGTATTTGAATAATAACATGCAGATTGTAACTGATCTCCAAGCAGAGTCAGAGGCAGCTTGTCTAACATGTTGGTCTCCTGTCAACCCTTTGTTAACACTCATGACATAAATGACAATTTCCTACAGATCCAATTCAAGCTACGTAGGTTCCAGATACAATAGCAGACGCAATTTATAGGATGGATGGAACATGAGATTCAATTCAATTCCATTCAAATAGCCCCAATTCACAACAACTGTCGCCTCAAAGTAAGGCTTACAATCACACAGCCCCCCTGTGAGCAAGCACTTGGAAGGAAAAGGAGCAGCAATTCATCGGAACAGGTTGTGGGTGAGGGCAAAGTACAGTGAGAGAGAGAGAGCGCAAGAGTTTAATTCAATTAACTGCTAATTAATAAATACAGAAGTGGTGTATAAAAACAGATAGTAAAAAGTGATAAAAATGTATTATGGGCACCCACCGCAGCCTCAGCCTGTTGTCATATGACCCACCCTAACTATATGCTTTATCTAAAATTAAAGTTTTAAGTTTAATGTTAATGGTATCTGTCTTCTGAATCCAAACTGTGAAATGGTTCCGTGGAAATGGGTCCTTACAGCTAAAAGCTCTGCCTACTTTTAAAAGCTCTAGGAACCACAAGTAGCCAGCGGTCTGAGAGCAAAGTGCTTTCATAGGATGATATATGATATGATATATCTGAAGTATTATGAGGTCCTTAAGATATGACAGGGCCTGATTATTCAAGATTTTGAATCTAAAGATTATTTTAAATTCAATTCTGATTTTAACAAGGAGTCAGTGAAGAGCACTAATATGGGAGAAATATTCTCTCTCTTTGTAGTCCCTGTCAGTACCCTCGCTGCAGCATTCTGGATTAACTGAGGGGCTTTTTAGGGAGTTTTTCAAGCAACCTGAAAATACTGAATTACAACAGTCCAGCCTAGATGTAATAAATGTAAGCTAGCTTTTCAGCATATTTCTGCCACAGTGATGGGCCACGGTAATATCATCTCAAGTATTTAGTGAGACATCGTGTTTCTAAGATTCCTAGAACTGAGCACAATAACCTCAGTTTTATTGAAATGTAAAAGTAAAAAAAAAAACAAAACAGATCAATCCAGGCTTTTATATCTTTAAGAAGTGACTGTAGTTTTACTGGCTGATTTGTATCATATGGCTTCATGGATAAATAAAGCTGGGTATCATTTGCATAACAATGAAAACCTATGCAGTGTTTCCTAATAGTATTGTCTAAGGAAAGCATGTATAATGTAAAAAGTACTGGTCCCAGCACAAAACCCTGTTAAAGAAGACTCCCCATTTACATACACAAACTGGAATCTGTCAGATAGATATGCTTCGAACCCAAGCAATACCATCATGCATTTAAATCTTTGTAGCAAACAGACAACACTATGGAAGCACACAGATGAGTCTACAGCTGGAGAACTGCAGGCCATATTACCTGTGACACAACAGGTGAACAGTAAGAATGTACAGCTGATAAATATGATAGGAACATCTCTGATAAATCCCATATAGGTTACTGTATGAAATAAGTCACTATATGAAAGTTTGAAATTAATTAATCTACACAGATGAAGCTACACAAAACATTACTATGAGTTATAAAAGAAGGTAATGAGATAGTGAAGTGAGAGCCAAAACCAAGTGAGAGATCTGTACATGGGAATGTATTTGCACAACCTCATGGTAAATTTAACATAACTCTACAACATTTTAGAGTTACCTTGCAAACATTACCTTTCAACAAGGTAACGTAAAGTTCCTCAAATGATTTGTGTGCCACCTCCAAATAAGATTTGCCTTAATTGCTATACTTTTACATTATCTGACAATAAGTTTTACATGAACTCAGAAATTTTTTACATAGCCTTGCGTAACTTTACTCAAATTTAATCAAAGTTTTACCTGCATATGAAGCACAAAATTCAAAATAATGCTGCATCCATGTTTTCCAAAAGAATTTCTCATTTCGATTCATTGACCGCAAAACAGTTTTTGATTTTGCTTAAATCCATTCTAAATGAGCTTTGAATCAGGATCTGGATCATGTTTACATTTGCCTTTTTTTTCCACATGTCATAATCTTTGCGAACACATAAATATAGGTTTATGAGTTTCGGAAATATTATTTTTTTTAATATTTCAAGCAGCATCGAAATTCTTTTGGAATTGGGAAATTGGGATTCTAAACTTTCAGCTTCCATAAGCCTCCAGGAAAACATAAAGATCTCTATCAAATAAGGTACCAGACATAATTACATGTGACTAATTATTCTTATGTGCATAGTTATCACCCAGAAACTTTGAGCCAAGAAAATGTGTTTAGTTCTTGCAATGTGCATTACATTCCTTTTGATTCACATGAAGAGTTGGTATATATAGGGGTGGCTGTAGCTCAGGTGGTAGAGCAGGTCATCCACTGATCGGAAGGTTGGTGGTTTGATTCCTGGCTTCCCCTAGTCTACATGCCAAATATCCTTGGGCAAGATACTAACCCCAAATTGCTCATCCATCAGAGTATGAATGTGTGTGAATGTTAGCTATGAAGCACTTAGAAAGATGTGCTTGTGCGAATGGGTGAATGCACAAGTTGTGTAAAGTGCTTTGAGTGCTCAGATGAGTAGAAAAGCTCTATATAAGAACCAGTCCATTTACCATATATTAGTTCACCTAAAATTCGCTGCCAGTTGACATGAGACTACATCATGAATTCTGTGCTAACTACTCATTTTAAATAATCTGTGACAGTGCCAAGATGTACTCCTTGGAAAGGCAGTTACAAGTAAAATCTGTTTTTTGTTTCAGCAGCTGCTACATCTTTCTGAATGCAATGGAGCAGCTAGAGCTGTGACTCATATAAATATATAAAATTCCCCCTCTCACCCCTCCGCGTGGTCCTTATTCTTCAAGCTTGGGTCCTCTACCAGAGGCCTGAGAGCTTGAGTGTCCTGCGCAGTGTCTTTGCTGTTCCTAGGATGGCGTTCTTCTGGACAGAGATCTCAGATGTTGTTCCTGGGATTTGCTGGAGCCACTCGCCTAGCTTGGGAGTCACTGCACCTAGTGCTCCGATTAACACTGGGACCACTGTTACCTTCATCCTCCACATCTTCTCGAGCTCTTCTCTGAGCCTTGGTATTTCTCAAACTTCTCCTGTTCCTTCTTCTTGATGTAGCTGTCATTCGGTATCACTACAGCGGTTTTCCTCTGCTTGTCCACCACTATTATGTCTGGTTGATTAGCCACCCCCATTTTTTCCATCTGTATCTGGAAGTCCCAAAGGATCTTAGCATGGCTCATTGTCGACCACCCTTTTGACCTCAGGACTTCCTGGCCATACTCAACACAGATGTTCCTGTATACTATGCCGGCGACTTGTTTATGGCGTTCCATGTATGCCCTGCCTGCCAGCATCTTGCATCCTGCTGTGATGTGCTGGAGTGTCTCAGGGGCATCTTTACACTGCCTGCAACTGGGGTCTTGCCTGGTGTGGTAGACTCCAGCCTCTATGGATTTTATACTTAGAGCTTGTTCCTGTGCTGTCTTTCAGTCCAGCCCCTGGTAGGATTTCTGGATGTCAGTCACTTCTTCCACCTGCCGGTGATGCATAACATGCAGGGGCCGGTCCTTCCATGATGGAAATTGAGAACCCAGAAGTTCAATTCCTTGGAATTTTTAGTCTGTCAGTTGGTTTCAGTTTGTCTGCTGGAGAAGGAAATTAATGGCCCAGTCTGCAGTGTGGATATGGAGATTACTTTTATTTTTACAAGAGTGCAATGGTAAAGTGTAAAGAACAGAAACACTTGCATTATACTGCCAACACATAAGTGATATGGATGATGGAATCAGAATAGCTAAATTCTTATCAATTCCCAATTCATTCTTAGGTTGTTCCATTACAGACCATGAAACTGAAGTGCTGCACAAGTTCAAAGCCTTTTTATGCTCATATTTGAAACACACGAATATCAAGACCTCCAAGTTGGCACAAAGAACAGGGGCAGAAACAGCTTATAACACTCTAACCCAGTGACTATCACGGAGACTTCAGTTTTATCTGAACTGACAAGTTTGTCTGGGATAGGAAGAACACAGCTTCAATTTTGTATTTGGGTCAGTAAATGGTACAAATGTAAATGCACATGTGTTGGTATACGTGTGTCTCACCCATTGTTGGTGTGCTTAGAGCCATGACTCCATAGTAGGAGAACGGGCCAGTTTCAAACTTCATGTTCTCATTTCCGGCTTCAACCTCCACCCGTCCCTGTAATACAAATACGAATGCAAACATAAATACACAAACACACAGACAAACACAAACTAGAGAAATCTTTGATGAAGAAGTGACCATTCCAAACATTTTCAGTAACACAAGGCTTAGATGGGGACCAGGCCGCTAAGCTAAGAACTATCTTTGTGGAAAGGTGTTCTATATGTCTATCATTTAATGACCAAAAGAGATTTTCCATCAGACAATAACAGAGACACCTCCTTGAAAACCACATCTGACTCCTGCAGAAAACTTTGTGCACAACTTTAGCATCAGCCTGTTTACTGGCTTCTGTAACCACACAGCCTCCACTTCTACCATGCAGACCACATTAAGATCTGAAACCACTACATCCTGACTCGATATGTCAGCAATGCTAGGCTTGGTCTACTGTATATGAGAAATGGTCAATTTGTTTTTATGAATATATAAAGTCTTAAAGATCCAAAATGTTTTTTTTAGAGGAAGCATTTCAGCATAAGAAGCTGTGGTATGCCAACTTGGCAGCTGAGGCAGAGGACAGAGGCTGGAAGATCAAGGTGCGCCCGGTGGAAGTGGAGTGCACGGGCTTTGTTGCCAGTACAACAGCAAAACTGCTTAGAGAGATTGGGATCAGAGGACAGGCGCAACGCAGGCTATAAGAGAACTAGCTAACACTGCTGAGAGGACCAGTCACTGGATGTGGTTAAAAAGGGCTGACATCACTTGGGCAGCTACAGCAGTCAGCTAACCGCGAGAGAAAAGAAAATATTACGCTCTTCTCCCCTTTTCTGGGAGGCAGTGGGGAGCTAGAGCGTACAGCCCAATCCAGCGGGCAGGTGTGGGAAGCCAGATCGGATGCCCCCCTTCCGGCTCTCCTCTCTCCTATCTTGTACCTTTTCTATCCCTTTGAAGAAGTGAAGCTCCATAAATGCTAAAGAGGTAAGTATTATTTCTCAGTTGCAGTGAATAGATAGGAGAAAATAAACTGTACAAAAATAAACAGAAGAAAGAATAGGAGAAATAACAATTTAACATAAACCAGTGACACACTGCGGGGCCTGATCAACCCTGGCAGGACCTCCTTGGATGAGGGTGTCTAGTGATAATGGCCGAAACACCCAAGGAATCCAAGGTCCACTACTGATGATGTATCCCAAATCTTAATATGATAACCTAGATCAGATCTCTATTCCCCCCCCACCCAAAAAACAATGGCAGATTAGCTTGGTAAAAGACCAAAAGTTGAGGCACACAACGATGTGTGCTGCTGGTAAAGTTTCTGGGCTGCCTTTCCTCATAACAGTCATCCCTCAAGATTCTCGCCATTTAAAGCAATGCATTATCAGGGAGTACAACATCTAGTCCTTTTACTGAATTTAAAATGGCGTAAAATAGAGTTACTTCCATAGCATTTCATTAGTTGTTGTTTTGGGTTTTTTTTTTTTTTCATTTTAATGATTTGCTTTTAATAGAGGAATCCATGTTGCCTTTACCAAACTGGCATGATTAGTAATGGAAAAGCCCAAATGTTTTTGCACTTTTGAATGTATCACATTTCCAGTAATACTCTCAGCCAGCTATATTACCTTAATCATGTTGCTGAACATCTTTCCTCACACCCTGTTTTGCAGGACATTTTACTATTTCCCTTATTTCCAGGATTTACTGCCCTGTCCTCCAGGGCAGTAAATCAAAACCTCAAAAGGTTTTCAGGCTTTCCAGGACCTGCAGGAACCAGACTGTCTATGTGATACATGTGTGCCCTGGAGCCTCTGCAGTGAAAAATCCACGAGTCGGGTCTTATGGCATGTAAGAGAAACACCTTAGCCTCCTATAAATATTACATCCTGCTGCAGGCACTCCAGTGTAGGGTTCAGTGTCTCTTTACCTCAAACAAATCCACACATAGACGTTTGTGCTTTCCTTGCTCTCAGGACTCCCGATAATACACTGCCTTAATTTAACCTTTAACATAAATGCTGCACTGATCTGATTCCAACCTAAAACTCAATGCAGCTCCACGAGGTCTGTCAATAAAGACAAGCTAAAATCTACATTTTCCAAGGTTTAAGGATCAAACTGGTCCTCACCAAGACAGACACGCGTGCACACACACACACACACACACACTGCCAAGTGGTGGAATGGGAGCAGTTCTGCTCAGGTTGCACACTGAGCATGTAGAGTCCCTCTATCCACACCTCAGGTGTCAAACAACAAAGCCTCCAGAAACTAACAACAGTTTCGCCTCAGCACAGCAGACACAGCCATCGTATGTGTATTCATCTGCATCTTGCTTTGAAACACTAAATAGAGAACTTGTACTCAATTCTCCAAATACCCTCCTAAGGGCACGCACAATTTTGTTGTACACTGTAAGTACCTTAGGTCAGGTACAGACTCGAAAGGTGTTTAGAGCCTGCATGTGTGCAAATCACCCCTACACACACACACCCTAACAACCAGAGATAAACCTGTTGGTCACCAGATTAAGCAGGTCAATCTACGTCATCCAGTCAGACTACATTATGACCCTTGAAATCTATGGAGGACCAAAACTGCCAAAATGAAAATAGATAAATGAATCGATAAATCAATAAGTGACTCAAAAAAGAATAAATCATGAATCTCAAAAATACAATGTAGAGTACTTTTTATTTAGTGTCAATTTAATTTACATTTGGTTTACAAATGTATAAACTTTCACATTTTCAGTGGTTTGAGGAGACTATGAGCAATATTTTCACCAATGCGCAACTCAAGGCTTTAAATATCTCTAGCTTCAAAGCCATCGGACTCTGTTAGCAATAACAGTCACTTTACCTTTGGTTAGTCAGCTAGGTTTGGAGTGGTGTGCAACTTTAGTGTTTTTAACTTATTAGCATACTTGGGCAGAAATCTCACAGAGACCAGCTGGGAACCACCAGTCCCTAGGGGGAAAAAAATGACTATTCCACAGCCAGTTGAGAGAACTTGACCAAAGTGTACTTGGTCATAAAAAAATTTATGGTGCTGCATCAAAAACAGTGTTTGGTGTTCAGGAGATTGTCAATAGGTTGTACGGAACATGACAATTTGTCTGCAAACACTCGCCAATTACTCACCAACTGGTTGTGAAACAGTATTTCAAAAGTCCCAGACATACTCCTGATTACCACCAAATCATATAGGTGATGTCACCATTTCTACAGACTATATGAATGTGTTTTTACCTGCAGAATGAGAACAAAGTAGTCGACAGGTTTGCCTCTCTGATAGAGGAAGTGCTGTGGCGATCGTTTATCATTTTCATTAAACTTTAGTTCCTGGATGACATCCGGATGTTTGAGGATCCTCAGTAGGACTTTCTCTGTGATCTGGAATGGGCTGAACAGGCTCACCTCTAATGGGAGAGAAACAAAGGCATTGTAAACGATCAAATTAAAACAGCAGAAAATACAGGCCTTGGACTAATTATTGACTGAGAGGTTTTTAGTAGATAACTTTATAGCATTTTACAGTCAATAAATAAAAATCAGCTGATTAGTTTAAGCCCTGTTAATTTGCATACTAAAAGATAGCATGTACAGACAGTGGCTGTGATTCAGCAGAGGATAATAGTCAGTGGCACTGAAACATTGTGTGCTGGCTAAATGCAAGATTAGTGCCTAGTGAATATCACCTGTGGCCAGGAAACGATGAGCTGCCAGTAGGAGCTGAGGAGAGATCTTCACCTTACTGTCCCCTTCTTGCTTGAACGCTGAGAAGTCGCGTTTGTTTTTGTTGGGGTCCACCTTCTTCCTGTTCCTGTTGTCAGCTGTGGCAAGAAAGAAAAGAAATAGGAGTTTAAATAATAGTAAAAATGAATGAAATTAAATGAAAAGTCATGTTTTGCTCTGTTAAAATTTCAAAAAAGTTTAAACTTAGAAAGGTAAAAGTCAAAGAGGAGGAGGCAGCACGAGCAGGCACCAGCTGATAGCACTCCGGCAAATTCAGTGTTTTTTTACGGTGTCCCACACAAACCGTTAACTAACTGACTCTATTGCACTCCACATACCACTGCCTTTGTAATGCAGATGCTGCTCTATGGACAATTCTACCCTCAAGAATCTCATGTTTACAAGCTGCTACACTGGTCACTTTAAATCATTAAACCTGTAAATTGTATTGTAATTCTCTTCTTATATTTATTGTTGTCTTTTGCACTGAATGGAACTGGAGCCTTGTCATCTCGTCTCTCTATTAAACTGTACTGTATATAGCAGAGATGACAATAAAGTTTACTTTGACTTTGAGAAGTTATAAGGTAATGATAGCAAGCTTGTTTACCAAGGTGAATTCATAAGCTATACAGGTGTAACGCAAAGCAATACGTGTCAGGCAAATGAATAATAAAATATTAAAATATACTCATTAAAACTAAAGGAACAGCTTTTGTGGTCTGTAACTTACAGCAAGTCAAATTATTAGGGTTAATAATGTGAGTCATGTGAGTTATTAAAGGTTGAGCTTTTCAGACCCTAGTTATGTTAATGTGATCATTAAAAAAAAAAATACCATAAAGTTGGACACTTTAACATGAGAGGCTGTGGGGATTTTATTTAACATTTAAATTATATTCACAAAGTAGGACAACACAGCAATCATCTCTAAGTACAGGTCCTGTGTACATGTGCTGCTGTATCACTGTACCAGTGCTTTTGTCGGTGAGTGAGTGTTTATGTGTTATAACATTTATGTGAGTGCTGCAGTCAGCAATTAGCAAGAGCTGACTCACTGTAGAGGTCAGATTCATCCAGGATCTCTGACTTGATGATCTCCTCGATAACATCCTCTAAGGTGACCAATCCCAGCACCTCATAGAAAGGATCTCCCTCCCCCTCATTGTTCACCTTCTGGACGATGGCCAAATGAGATTTACCTGGTGAGGACACAGATCACCTAAAGGTTATGAGAAACAAGAGCACTGCAGAACATGCATATCATTTTTCTCATCATTTTAAATTCCCTATGTTTCCAGAAATCATTTAACAGGAAAGTGGGGCAGCATCAAACACGACAGAGGAGAAGAAGTTAGCAAGTTTCAGTGCAGCTGCTGTGTCTTTAACTTCAGCATCTAGCCTTTAGACAGATTTAGCTCCTGCTACAAGAAAACATCCTTTTTTGTTTTACAACAGTCACACTGCTATTCGATCTGTCAGTGGATTTATCCTGACCGATGAGAGGGCAGACTCATGCCTTAATATAGCCCAGACTAGGCTAAGAGCTTTGAAGAGAAAAGAGTTGGAAGGACTGCCAGAATGAGATAAAGAGAAGTGAGACAGAGAGAGAGGCAGGAGGAGAACGAAGCTAAGTAGAAAGAGGTATATAACAAGAGAACACAAAGCATTAATGCACTCATGACTCTGCATTGTTCTCACAACACTCCCCACATGCCCACGACTGCATGCAGGACTGTGTGCAAACAACTAAACCTGATACAACATGATTAGCAATGGCTGCCAGTAAGAGTTAAGTAAAAACATTATCAGGTCAGCAGGATGGAAACGTGTCACAGTTCATGGTCATCAAACACCAGCAGAAGCAGAAGCACTGTCTACTTGTGGCCTCCATGGTGCTCACTGCTTTGTATGAAGTAAAAGAAACAGAAACATCTGTTTTCAGCAAGAAAACATTTATTCTGTTTCAATAGGTTTCATCAACTCCAGTGGTGAACCTTTAAACAGTGTTTCATTCCCAGCCTTTTTCACCTGACCTGCTTTGAAAAGGTCTTGAGCAACCCATTATTTCTTTATATTTTGCAAGGAAATAGGCACAGTGACTTACTGAAGTGTTGTGTGCTTTATGTCCAGGTTATGCATTTACTGCATTGACAATATGTTTTGGATAATTTTCATACTGAAAACCGAAGCAATTGCCCATCATACACTTTCCAGTTCGTATTGCAAAGTAGATTAAAATCTGATGATACAGCCCAAATCAAAAGATTAAGACCACACAAAAAATGACAACAACAACAACAAAAAAAAGCATATTATGCATGCTTGGATCTTAACAAGGTTCCAAGTAGAGCATCAATATGCAGCAAGGAGAAATGGGAGAGAGAAAAAACATTTTTTGAGCATGCAATTTGTTGAAAACAACTCTTAGACTGAAGCAGGCTGCTATACAGCTGATTAAAAGTTTTGGACCACACCTCCACACCTCCAGTCATGCCAATAACGTTGGAAACATTCGGGACCATCCATTCATCCATCCATCCATTTTCTTCCACTTATCCGCGGCAGGGTTGCGTTGGCAGCAGCCCAAGCAGAGAAGCCCAGACCTCCCTCTCCCCAGCCACCTCCTCCAGCTTGTCCGGGGGAACATCAAGGCATTCCCAGGCCAGCC